TTTTTTTTTTTTTTTTTTTTCATTATCGTTAAAGGCTAGGAGCAGCGTAGTCTAGAGTCTAGACATCGCGCATGCGGCGCGATAATAATGGCATTCTGGACAAGCCCAGAGATGACACAACCTGCCAGCAATGACTACCACGTGCAGCGAATAAATTCCTTTTAAAACGGAATACCATACGTTGATCGTCGATTACCATCGATCGATCGTTTCGCGGTGCACCGCGCTCGAATCGATGGTGGATTCGAGGTCGTCCGGTGCGCACGTCTGCGATCCAGATAGACACGCACGACAGCAATGCCTCCTGCGATATCGTATCGAACGTCTAAAATTCACCTCGAGTGCCCGCTGTCGTTTTCGATTAACGACGTTCCTCGTCATCGGCGTTAGTCACCTCGGAGCCGGTCGATTCTTGTCCGAACGTATTCTGCGCGTTCTAACGTCAAGGTTATCCGGTTCTTCCGTCGCCGATAAAAAAAAAAAAAAAAAAAAGTATAGCAAGCATAGCACTTCGATCGAAGATACGATGAATTAACACCTGGCGATAGATCCAGTTTCGCTGCTACAGCGGAAACAACGCACGCGCCGATTTTGTGGTTGTTTCGTCGATGCGCCCTCAAAATGGTAAATACGAAATGTGACGACAACTCGTTTTATAATCGCCAGATACGATCGTGGCAGGATTTAACGGCGAAAGATCGGCAACGAGCGCGTGGAACTTTTTTCTAACGAGGCAAAGGTCATTTCCGGCCAGACGGAAAGCGGAAACGCAGCGCGTGCTCGCCTGTATCCGGTCACTGCGTTGACTTCCAAACTAACTCGATAGCATCAAACCTAGCACTATGTACATGGACCATCCGAAGCTATCAATGCATCTTTGTTTGTCTATGTCCCGATGTTTCCTTGGGAATGCTTGCAGCGCTATTTCCAGTCTCCTACGTTGCACGTAGGTACCACTCGAGTTGAACGACACGTCCGATCACTCTCCTACGTGCACGTTGCGAAACTGAAATTCGAAGCTACGAATTCAAAGGATGTATCTTGCCTTTCCACGAAAAGTTGCACCATCTGTTATTCTCACGGTCAAATGCCGTACAATTTCCACGTTCGAACGTAGACATCCCTGTTTGACAGGATTGAAGGATGGGGGTAAAGCAACAAGGGAGTATGTGTTCATCAACTAGTAGATATCGGCGGATTCACGTGGGAAGATAGTCACGTGGGTGAATTTCTCCAAAGGTCTTAGGTCGATTACTTTCGTACTTTTGTATGCGTCTTCGCGGCTAACGCGATCACCGGATAATTACCGCTGTTGTGCAATCAGCTTTTACGTAATATCGCGGCTCGAACTTTTCGAACTAACGATACCAAGATGCATATGGATGTAAATAAAATCATGATCGCTACTCTCGGTTACTGGCTGCATCACCGTCTAAAGCTAAAGTCACCAGCGATTTGAATGTCAAAGGATTATTGAGATTCACTCGCAATAAAGCGTACTACAAAATCGTACACCTTTTATTATACAAATTAACACGAGTCTAGTTACAGCGGTGATTAACGCAGTTAGCTAAGATTATGATCGAGAGGTTTCGTCGAGCCTCGTTAAAAAGCACGCAACGTTAAAATGATATGCGGAAATTTGCAACTAATTACTCGCGATCTAGCGATGCTGCTGCTGCATAAAGTGAAAGTGATTTCGCGCCATAGAATGGGAATACATGACAAATTAACGAGACTGGCCTATTGATAGGCAGCGAACGCGCGAACATTATCGTTACATCGAACATTCTCCGTTAATTTATCTAATCACGATAAAGCAAATCTCCTTTGTACTGCGTCGAAAAAATTTTGTTACGAGAAATCTCTGACTCGTAATTCTTTTGATAACTTTCCACGAGATTTTTCATTCGGCTTTCCTTGTTTGCTGGATCTACTACGAGCTTTCCATCGAAGAATTTCCGCCATAAAGCAGATTGAAAAGTTCTCCTATATTTAGAGTGCCAAAGATTATGGCACGTCCTCTCGAGTATCAGCACGAGACAGCTAAAGATTACTCCACCAGCCAGAAGACATAAGATAGGCACGACTCCGCTCAAAGTGACAGTGACGTCCTCTTTCCTGTTAGATTTTTTAATCCCCAGAAACGAATTCTTTAACTTGGTCAGTACCCCGTTGTCTTTGAATCGTCGCAGACTGAAAAAATATTCAAGACTCAAACTTCGATATAATTTCGAATTTCAATAATATGTTAATAAAATTAACAGTAATGTACTTACTAATAACTCACCACTCCAGTGTACTGACTGTTTTTCTTCAAAATCAAACCTAAATTGTCGATCCTGTCCGCTTCGATGGACGAAATTACACACGGTAACGGGCTGGCTGCTTTCTTTATCGCTTCTGATATGTAAAATCCCACTTTCTCGCTGCAAACCTGTGATCGTTAATTATTAAATTTGAAATATTCGCTCACGTATGATATTGGAATTTGATGTTTTTAAGCGTAAATTCAAAGTGAAAATTCGTAAAAATATAGATCGATAGGTCGAACATTGAACATAACGAACTTGTGCAAAGCCCTCGTGAGCCGTCAAAGGTAAATACTCCTTCTTCTTCAACAACTTTTTCAGTTTCTCGAACAAGGTAGTGTTAGAGGCCTGGAATTATAGGTATCTGTTAATTATAGGTACTGCTTGTTCGATATCGTCTGTTTTACGTGTATCTGTCTTACAATTATCATCTCATAATCTGCACTGTTTTTATACGTGATCAGTTTATACGAGCCATGATCGGCGAACTCTTCCATCGTGGTGAAAGGTAACGTAACCGTAGAGACTGTCAAAAAGCTGATCAACGATGCGGAGTAAGCGGATAAAACAATCAACGACGATAAGAAGATCGATAGAAAAGCCAATCTCATCGAGGACTCGTTTGGAAACTCTGAAACAGATCAGTTTCGTGCGAAAATCGATTTCATTTCGTGCGTTTGTCTTACAGTTACCTGACAGTGCTTGTTGACAATAAATCCCCCAAACGTATATGTAATTATCCGCTAGGATTTCCAACACGACACGGCCTTTCGTCTTCATGAGAGTCAGGAAAATCGGGGTGGTTACAATTAAGCATATTATTACTGCCCAAATGCCTCTTGTGAATATCTGAAAATAATCCATTACTGCGATAGTTCATGAATACCGATGAATTCCGATGCAATGTTTCAAAATGACCACTGATCTTCAACGAGCGAGCTTGCGATGGTGGTCACAATCCACTACTTTACTACAAAAAAAAAAAATAGAATAAATTCATTGAGAATGGAAACCTTAAAATAAGCGGACCAGTGTATGAACGAGCCATCGGGTTTCTTAAAGTATATTCTATTGCGGGACAAAATTAATGGGAAAGTAAAGTCCACGATGTCCAGTCTGCTTGTAGTCATACTAAATTCCGCGACGCCGATGTCCGCCCTGTCCGTTATTAATTCGCCTATCACTCCTGTCCATATGCCTTTTTCCTCGTTCCAGCTACCGTATATCAGTACCGAGCTTGCCACTTCGATCTTAAAATTCATCGATTTACTCAGCTCTTTGATCACTGCGCCCAAGAAGTTCGTAAGAACTCCGTTCTTCAGCTCAACGAATAGGGAATCCTTGAAATTCGCATCGACCATAAGTTTCGAAAAATACTCTCTCTGAGTTGAAGTATTCATCGTAATATTTACCTCGAGGATCGAGACACGTATCGTTTGTCCAGACAAGTTTCTCCTTCCGTACAAGGGACTGTCCGTCTCCAATTTTATCCCTACGCTACTTTTCCAGGTAGCCAAGTTAAACATCCTCGTTTGATTATCGGACAACGCGTACCACTCCCTTAGAAGTGGCTGATCGTAACAAAGCACCAGCATCTCCGTATTGAACTTCAAATTGAACGGGTTTCCAACAGGATTTTGACAAATGTCTCGCAAGGGATTCCCCCAATATGGCAGAAACATCACGAGCCAGACGGAAAACGAGGTATCGATCCGTCTGGTGACCATCGAAAACTCGTCCATGTTCTCCTTCGTGGTGAGGATGACGACGTATAACGGACGCCTCATGTAACTTTGGAACGTCCTAGACTCACGCGGCAGTTGAGAAAATCTTACGCTCGTTGTCAAGATGCTTAGCTGTGAGAAAGCCCGTGACCATGTAAAAGCCAAGGAAGTTTCATTGAAATCTGAAAACGACAATTGTTCGCGATCGCCTCTTATCGCTAGCGACAAGACTGAGGGAGGCAGTACTTTAAACGAGGAAAAAAGAAATGAATTTAAGTAACACGGTTGAACCTACTACTTTCATAGTAAGTCAAAAGTGAGCGAAACTTACTGTCATGACTGTTCGAGAATACGGTTATGATGCAGGACGTTTCGTAATAGTAGTGAACGTCCTGGATTAGATGAATATATTTGTAAGCGTCATTTACGTCCACCGAGAACGTTGAGACAGGCAGGAGCAGCACGACGATCAGTCGTGTACAAGTCATTCGTGCCATCTCACGACAAGGAGAACGATTTGTCCGTCGAATTACCGTCGGTTCAATGATAAAATCGTTTTTTTAATCAGAATTGAGATACTCGACCGCTTCGCATCTTCTTGAACACTGATAATATTCTCCAAATGGCCAACGTGTTGGCGAATTTCTAAAAACTCAGCAAACTAAGGTGATATCCTTTCCCTTTACCCGATGCTCGATCGTTTCTGATGCTGACTAACGGAACTAAATATGAATAGAAACACCGCAAGTTATATTGGAATTTATCGAATTTACAGATCTAGAGACGGGGATAGTATCTCATTAGGGGCGTAATGGTCCGCGGTATGCATTAACCGTGCAATCGTACAGATTACGTGCAAATTGTTGCAAAGATTAACGTCGATGGAAAATGTACGCCTGTACAGGTGTATGCATTTCGGAATATGCACGTGCTGTGATTTAATGGACGTTCTTTATTATTGTGCGTATCATACTTTCGCATCGGTTACACGCCAGACTTTTCACTTGATAATGTAAGAGAAGAATAATCAGACGTGTCATTTCCGGTGCCATAGATGTTTCATTATCGTGTCTTTGAATCTATTTGATTACATTCACTATTAAAGCTAAAGAAAAAAAATCAACTCGAAGTTGAACAAAGTTGAACATTAGCAAATGTTTTGACAAGCATACATGGAAAAATTTACCCTTAGTCGTCCGGGTAATTGTAAAAATAAGAATTTATATATCTATTGTAAAATATCTCTATGAACAGTGTTACAAGTGCTAATATAATACCGCCGAGGAAGATTATTAATACAGATACGATGCTGTAAAACCCAACCGGCTCGAATCTGGTTTTCTCCGTGAAAGTTACTTCGCTCTTCAACCGGTTCAGTAGGCCACTGTTCAAAAGTTTCTGCATACTGCAACATTGTGATGAATATTTTAAATATTTTTAATAGAAAAAGAAAAATAACTTTCTTATTTATAAGTTGCCGGGTGCATATAGCACGTCTATCGATACTAACTAGTAATTGAAAACGGAGGTGAACTGACTGTTTTTCGGTAGAATCAGGGACAAACTATCCACTCGGCCGACGTCAACAAAGGTAACATGGCACGGTATGCGGTAATTTATCGTTCTCCGTAGTTTCGTATTAAAACCGCTATAATACGTTAATGAGCCATCTTTGCATATCTAGAAACGTTTTAAGATAGTTGAGAAAATTCTATTTAAAGCGTTATCATGAAAGCGAACTTGCGTTGTAAAATGCAGTGTCTGTATCAAGTGGTAGAACATCTCTCGGCTTTAGTTTTTGCATCATGCGCCGCGAAATAGGATCTTCCGATTTCTGTAAATCAAATTATCCTTTCTACAACGTAATATTAATGGAAACTGCATGTACCTATGTACATGCTATACATTTTATTCACAATTCGTTCAGGAAGTGGTACTTTTTCATTCGTCGAGTGTTATGTCGATCGTTCACATTACATCACATAACGTTCGTGACGTAATCTCTCAACGTAGACAGGTAAAAGTGAAAGCATACATATCGTGCCAGAATTCTCCATTATTAGACACAAACTTACAGTAAATATGTCATAGTCCGAGGAAGATCTTTGAACGATTATACTGTATGTATCATCATCGAGGAACTCTTGCAGTGTACGGAAGGGTATATTACGAACGCGAGCTGTTACGAAGCATATCATAGACGCGGAATAAGCGGCAAATGACACTATACCAGTAACGAGTATGGTAAAGTATGCTAATCTCAACGATGAATTCTGCGGAAATTCTGCGAAAAGAGATTCTATTAGATGCTTAATCTTTTCTTGTAAAAGAAAGTAAAACTTTAAAGCAGATATTCGTCAAAGTTATTAAATTTATCGATTCACCAGTTGTGATTCCTTGTTGGCAGAAAATACCCCAAACTCGAATAAATTCATGGGATATTTCGCTGATGAGATTAGTGGATTCCACTTGAGATCTAATAAAAGCCAAAACAAATAATGCGATCATGATTGTCATAAGCAAAGACATCCAGAGTGTGAAACTGTAAACCTAAAAAAAATGTATATTTTTAAATGTGCAGGCAACTACATAAGTATAGTTTAGCAATGTCACGTATATACCTTGTAATAAGCAAACCATTTCACCGTGAGTACTTCCGGTTGTTTAAAGTAGAAAGACTTTCTAAGGGTAAAAATAGGAATCATATAATCAATGTAATCGAGTCTAATGTTTGTCATCGAGAAATCGGCTAATCCGATATCTGCTTCTCCAGAAGCCACTAAGCGAATTGCTCCGTTCCAACTTTTCGTCGTCGTATTGAAGATTCCGAACTCCTTTTCAATGAACGCGATGTCGAGAGTAAAGTTCAGATAATTCTCAAGCTCGCTGATCACTCTATTAAAATATCCTTCGAATTTATTATTTTTAACCTTGACTAATACCGAGTTCTACGGACAAAAGTAAATCTCATAAACTCTGATAATTCTACCTGTGAATCATAGGGAATGGAATATTTGAATTTTTGCCTCGACAGTGACAGCTCGCAGAACTTTCCCTTTCAGATCATTTCTCCTCTCATATAGACTCAAATTGGTTAACAAACTCAAAGCAGCCGTTGACGATCCCACTTGTCTCTCTGGATACCATTTCACTAGGTCGAAAATGACGGTGTTGTTCCCATCCACGGAATACCACTCGCGAAGAATAGGATCACCGTAACACATGACCAGCATTTCAGTATCGAATAACAAATGAAATGGATTTCCCGATGGATTGTAGCAATATTTCTTGTCCATCCACTCGGTTATAAATATTACAAACCATGCAAATAAAGACATTTTCAAGGACTTCGAGTATCTCGAAAATTCGGAAACGGCTTCAGATCCAGACAGAAAAATGATGACTAACGGTCGAAGGATACTATTTCTTTTCAGTGCATGAATATCCTTGAATGTACAACTCAGAGTTGCAATTTGCTCACGATGAAGAAGACGAGACCATGTGTGTGACATATATGCTATCTTCAAGCCTAATAATAATATAACAGTGCGCAGATATATCATGGAATATATATTTTCTTGTTATCATATTACAAATGTATTTTTTATATAAAAATATTTGAAAATCATACCATCGAAATGTTCGTTCTCGCTAAGTGAATGCATCAAAAAGACAGCAGAAGTCGAATAATATGTGCGAACCCATTTTATTAAAGGAACGTACAGTGATCCGTCAGAGTATGTTGTAGCTCCCGTTAAATGAAAAAACATAGAAATAACATTGAAATACATAGCAAATTTCATTTTGTTAAAATTAATTGCCTCTTCTTCTTTTCTTCTCTCTCGAAAAAGATCACAAATTATACATGCATATACCCAAGAGAAGTTGAGGACGCGCAAAAGACTATGATAATCGTCGATGACTGAATTCTCGTAAGTAGAGACAAGTACTTTTATCCAAGAATGAACATCAAATATTCACGAAACATTTGTGCATGTACTTTTGACATGAAAAATGCAACTTCTCAAAAAGACTATGTTGGCTACGATGGTAATCTATTAAATAGGATGTAACGATGGGCATTATTATGATGACAGTATGATGAGCGATAAAACATAATAGATAAAATGCAAACAAGATAATTAATAGTTGTATTAAATCAATTAGATTATAAAAGACGGTGGTATTATTTTCATATTCAATACCTTTTAAACTTAGTCAGTACTAAAATTGATAAAAGTTATAAAAATGTTGATTGAGTACTTATAAGTATTTATGATAAAAATATTACTTAATCAATTAATGAGAAATTACTGGCTAAGCAATTTTAAACAATTTAAGTCTTATATGTCTATCATATGTAGAGTTAATTTTAATATGTTATATCATTAGATAAATGCTATGTGCCGATCTATTTCCATTAGCAAATTACATTTTAATGATTAATCCCTCTTTTCAAAAATGATTATCCGAAACGAAACATTTATACATACAAGGTGTTCTACGTAATGCGGTGCACGGTTTTTCAACCAATAGACTTTGGATTACAGAATGTTAACATAGAACGTAGAAATGAATTTGTGTGTGATGTAGTAAAATAAGCCATAAAATCCAAAATCTAATATCTTTATTTATCCAAAATCTAATATATTTATTTTGTTCAAAAGTAAAATGCGACGGAAAATATTTCAACTATTCCCATTATTGTAAAAATAGCACTGTGTTGAACTTCTATTATTGTGAAAATAACACTATATAAAAATATAATGTTATGTGCTTTTTGAATTAGTTTTAATATCTCCTACAATATAATGAAAAGTATATATTTGATCCTACTTGAAAAAACATAAGATTTCGCTATTTTTGAAATTCTAATTATCGCTATTTGTTACACATTAAACATTGATAATTTCTTTTTATCACATGGTCGCAAATGATTGAAAAATAGTGCGTCATGTTGCACGGAACACTCTGAGTAATTTTCATAATAATTATATTAATAAAAAATGCATAAATTTCGAACAACCTTTCGTTATATTTATAATAATTGCAGGAATACAATATTAGAGCATATCAAATTATTAGTAACATGATTAAATAAAGATGTTACAAGTAATGAAATAAAAATGACCAATTATAGTTTATTATTATTATTAAAAAATGTTATATTATAATAATAGTTTATTATTAAAATGTTATAATTTTATAATGTTATTATAAAAATGTTATATTATAATAATAGTTTATTATTAAAAAATGACCAAGTAAATTATAGTTTATTATTATTTGCATATTTAATTAGAAATTCAGTATATATTATGCGTCAAATATTAGTTGTTTCAATTTTAAATTACTCAAATATTAAACAAGTTTTTAAAAAAGTAAAAAATATTAAAGAATTTCGAACCATCTGTTGCAATAATATTAAGAAAGTGATGATTAAATGTAATAATTTCTATCTATGAATCATCATTTCTACGTACATGCATATGTCACGTGACTACCAATTGTGCATCTCATTCAAAAATGGCGCCGTTCAAATTTTAACAAAAATTCACCATTAATTCACATAGGAAAGTTTTACACACATAATATTAACTTTATTTAACGATAGATGATTGAAATATAAGATGAACAAAATTATTTAAATATATTATTAAAATTAACGTCTTAAAAACGTAGAATAGAAAACTACCTAGTTATCGAGTACGCCATTTTGTACAATCGATCCAATTCTGCAGAATAAGTTTGGTAGGTGCGTGGTATATAAGTATCGTAATAGAATCATCTGGACATACGACAGTGAAACTTCGCAAGAGGAAACTTGTGTGTTGTGCAAAATAATAGTTTTTGTATATTTTCGCAAATAGTGCATATTTCATTCTTGTTGTACGAGATAAATACAAATTCAATAATGTATAAAATATGTTTGCAAAACAAAGACTCTTCCGTCATAGCAATTCGGAAGTATATTGGCCCACAGTATGTACGCTATGACGATTTCTATGAAAAAATCAAGTTAACATTCCCAGAATTAGCTAATAAGAATTTCATCGTTTCCTGGCAAGGTAATTATGATATATAAAAATAGTTGCATCACCTTATCTATTCTTTAAAAATTTAACAATAAAATCGTTTAGTTCTTTTATCATAATTCTTCAATGATTTTAAATGGCTTTTAAATATCTAATTTTTAATATATATCGTAGACGCTGAAGGTGATGAAATCATAATATCATCTGACGAAGAATTAGAAATTGCTCAAAAAGAAATGTTTTCTCGAAAAAGATTTAATATCAAACTTCTTCCATCTAAGCAAGAAATACCAAGTCAGAAGAAGGATAAAGCAATTCATTTTGGTATATGTTGTGATGGTTGTGACAAAGACATAATTGGATTTAGATACAAATGTATTCAATGCGAAGACTATGATTTATGTGCACAATGTGAGAAAGAATCAATACATTCGCATCATTATATGATCCGTATGCCAGAACCATTACAATGGCATCATAGTCGAAGTTTGATTCATCATTTGAGAAAAATTCTAAAAAAAAATGGTGTGCATTTCAATAAGAAACATGCTTGTAATGAAAATACTTCTCAAGGAATTCATAGTAGCATTTATCCTTGGTTGGAAAGTTATGCACCATATTTAAATAGCATTATTGATACAGTATTGGAAACATCAATTGGTCCAGAGCCTTTTAAGGTAATAAATATTAATAACGAACAAAAATAAAGAACAAAAATAAAGTTTATAAAATTTACAAAAGTAATTCAACATCATTATCATTGAAATTAATTTTAATTTGAAATTCGTTCGTATATTTTTCAGAATCACAAGCCTGAGAAAAAAGAAGAATCTAACAATGATACACGTCCAGGTGAAAATGATTCCAGGAAATTTCCTGGAGAAGGAAGAAAACTGCTCGATGATACTAAAGAAGATAAAGGATCAATATCAGATGTTGCATCAACTACTAGTCAAGATACAAAAGTAGTGGCTGATGAATGGACTATTATAGATAAAAATGATACTGCTGAAATTAATCAAGCATCTTCAACTTCATTTAATGCGAATGAAACAAGTATAAAACAGGTAAAATATTATGAAATATAGTTTAAATTAATACAAAGTCTACAAGTATACAGTTCGTAAAAATTTTATTTTTATTTTTAAAAATATATATCTTATGTTATAAGATTCCATCTTCTTCAACTGCACCATCAGCACCGGAAGGATCTTCAACCCAAACACTATACCCTGAGTTACCAGAAGAAAAGAAGGTAATACATCATGAGAATCCAAGAATTAACGAAGCTATTGAAACTATGTTGAAAATGGGATTCTCAAATCAAAGTGGACTATTAACTTATTTGTTGGATGCTGAGAATGGAGACATTAATAAAGTTTTAGAGATATTGCAGCCTACAAATAAGTAAACGTCAAATTTAGAATTTGATGAAATTTTTCGTATGTAGTTGACTTTTCTTTTACGAAATAAAAGTAGATACGAAGAATGTTACATTACGTAATCGTAATATATATTATTATTGCAAATATTACATTCCTTTTTATTTGATGTACTGTTCATGTTAATAAAGTAGCATGTAGAGATACTACTAATAAAACATGAATTTTTATTATAATAATAATGATCTTGAATTTAAATGTTAATTAAATAAAAATCATAAATAAGGAAAAATAATATGAAGTAATTATTCAGTTCCTTAACAACAATATTTATTAGTATGTAAAATGATTTTAATATAATGGTTTACAAAGTGTCCAAAGCTGATGTGGATTTTTATTGGATAGTAACTCCAATTCTCTTTGTCCTTTATCACTAATGTTTTTGATCCATTTTCGATCTTTATAGTATTCTAATATAGTTTTAAATTCATCTAATGAATAATTTTCGACGCAAATGGGTAGAAAGGGATCCAGAAGCTCAAATCCTTTTTTACCAAGTAAATATGTTGGATAATCAGAATCTTTCCTATCCTGTAAATAAAAAAAGAAATAAATTTATTTTAGTTAGATACTTGATAGTAGTTTTGTTGTACAATATTATATCAATTTTTACATACTTTATTTGCTCTTTTATCTACTGTTAATATTGCAGCACCATTACACCAATTATAATCTACACTACTCAAGAATGTAGATGTTATTGATATCCTCTCAGGTGGTACATATGTATGATTTTCATCTTTTATGTGTGTTATGCTAGAAGTAAATGCATTAAAACCATCTATAATAATTAATGTTCTACATTTTCCTGCTGTACTGGCCATTTTAAGTTCATCTACTAAAGCATTAATAACACTACAAGCAAATTTATTTCTTTGTATTCCAAATTCAATAAGATTAGAAAGTGAATCTCCAGATTTTGTAATTTCTCTTTGGGACCAGGTATATTCCTTAGTAGTCTTCAGCTATAAATTAATTGCTTTAATTATATATAACAATAAAATAAACTTCAATAATTACGTACATCAAGCTGTAATAGTGCTACTTTATTCATTTCTTTAATATATTTTAACCATTTTGTTGCTGATTCAGGCAAGTCTATTTTATCTGGTTCCAAAGGGGATGCGATTGTATCTCTTGAATATCTGAACCAAGTTTGAACTTTAAACACATAAGTAAATTTGTATGATAAATATATTCTACAAATAATTTATTATTATATAATTCAGTTCATACCCCATGGTAAATGAAGTACAATATATCGTTTCACAAGGCCATAATGAATCAAATGTAATAAAGATGTTGTTTTTCCTGCTCCTTGTATACCATCTAATAAATAGTGAAAATACAGTCGTATATAATTAAATCATAAATTTTTTTTTACAGTTAGAATTAACTAAATAATTAAATATGAATTATTAAAGGATACATAAAATATATTTATTTATAGACTTTGTAAAGTCTGTTTGTTCTAAATATGATATTATTTCCACTGCAGGTCGTCTAACTAAAATACCAAATTCTTTGAACACTTTTGTTTGCTTTCTTAATTCAAGTGTCATATTTGACATTAATGATTCCGTAATATCCGAAGGTACTGTGTGAATACGAGTTAAACAACTTTCATCGTGCTCTGCAGGGTTAGATTCCGAAATACGAAACCATGGAATACTTATATCTGGTACATCTTTCGTAGCAGCTGTTATTATTGTTCGCTGACCATTTCTAAGGCCCATTCTACTAAATAAAGAATCTAACATAACATAAAAAAGCAATTATTAAAAACCAAAACATTATGGTGTGAATGTTTATACAATGTATGTAACAGAAAGCACACGAATGTAATTTTCTTTTGTACAAATTAAATTATTATTTATATAAGCAGATAAACGTACAAGTATAAGACATCATGTTATTTACACAGTTTTAATTAGTGGCAATTCTTTCTTCATAGATGATTACAAGTAGTAGTTTTCAAATATGTATTCACCACATAGGTATTCAAACGCAAATACAAGTAGCCATATTTACTAATGTAAGTAATAGTAAGTGTTTTGTGAATACCAATAGTGGGCACTGGATTCGATAGATTCTATGAAACGTTCCTATGAAAATCGATCGTGTATAATAATTTTGTATGTTGCACAACTGTTTTTATATAAAAAATGTTTCATTAGGTTAATATATTTAGGAAAAAACAGATTAATAATATTTTTTTTCTGTAAACGATAATATTTTAAGTATTTAATTTTAGGGACATATAAAATCTTATTCAAAATAGTCAGGCTACAAACATTGATTAAAAACAGAATAGATATGGCATTCAATGCTTTCTTGTATTTCACGTTTGTTGGTTTCCTTACGTTTCTCGTATCACTTGTGACATTTAACAAATATTTACAGTTTTTAGATTTTATTGTTTTCAATGTTTGAATTGGATATAATTTCTATCTTCATTATGGTAAATCATAACATTGACTACAATGATCATAATAAGCATAAAGAATATTTTGAGTTGGTAATTCAGAATGTGAACTATATGTGTTATATCTGTTCTATTCATGGTTAATGCTACAACCATATAGGTAATCATATAGCAATAATTCTAGTAAGTTCTAAGAAGTAAACAGAGACAATAAAATAAAAATGAATTTAGAATTATTAGGTAAATATTTAAAAAAATTTTTTTTTTATTCAATTTTTTAACATATATATAATTTTTTTTTACAGAATCATTTGGCCAGAATTATCCAGAGGTAGGATATTTTTACAAATATAATGTACTTTTTATTTCTGAATCACAGACAATAAAATAAAAATGTTTATAATCATCAGGAGTTTGATGGTACATTAGATTGTATATCATTAGCAGTCACTTGTACGTTTAATAAAAGAGGAACTCTTCTTGCTGTTGGCTGTAATGATGGTAGAATTGTTATTTGGGATTTTTTAACACGTGGTGTTGCCAAAATCATTAGTGCACATGTACATCCTGTTTGTTCATTGAGGTAAGTAACTTGAATTAATTTGTCATCAATTTTATATCATTGTCTTTGTCAATTAGCTGGTCTAGGAATGGACACAAATTATTAAGTGCATCTACAGATAATAATGTTTGTATATGGGATGTTTTATCTGGAGAATGTGATCAAAAATACAGATTTCCTTCTCCAATATTAAAAGTGCAGTTTCATCCAAGAAATCTTAATAAATTTCTAGTGTGTCCAATGAGACATGCAGCAGTAATGGTTGATATTGAGGGTACCCATAGAGTTATACCTCTTGATGATGACGTAAGTTTAATATCATTATTAAAGTTATTGCTTAATATTTTTAACATTGATATTTAATATTCATTTATTTTAGAGTGATTTAAACATAGTAGCGTCTTTTGATCGTCGAGGAGATTATGTCTATACTGGAAATGCTCGTGGTAGAATTCTAGTTCTTGATGCAGAGTCCTTAACTGTGAAAGCTTCTTATAAAATATCACAAGGCACAGCTAGTAATACAGCTGTAAAGAGCATTGAATTTGCTAGAAGAGGTTCTTGCTTCTTAGTAAATACATCAGATAGAGTAATTCGTGTATATGATAGTACTGAAGTATTGGCTTGTGGAAAAGATGGTGAACCAGAACCAATACAAAAATTGCAAGATCTTGTAAACAAAACTATGTGGAAAAAGTGTTGTTTTTCTGGAGATGGGGAGTATGTTTGTGCTGGATCTGCAAGACAGCATGCTTTATATGTGTGGGAAAAAAGTATTGGAAATTTAGTAAAAATTTTACATGGAACTAAAGGAGAATTATTACTTGACGTTGTTGTAAGTACTATTAATCTGTAATATTTTAACAAAATGAAATGAAAAATTCCGATTTCAAATATTTAAAAACTAGATTCGATATTGGATTTGAACAGATCTTGAAAAGTTGTATTATATCATCATAAATGACTTGAATCTAACTTTTTATCTGAACTTTTACAAAATCATAATCTTATAATTTATAATACTGCAGTGGCATCCAGTGAGACCAATTATTGCTTCTATATCATCCGGTGTTGTTTCTATTTGGGCACAAAATCAGGTTGAAAATTGGTCTGCATTTGCACCTGATTTTAAGGAATTAGATGAAAATGTTGAGTATGAAGAAAGAGAAAGTGAATTTGACTTGAGCGATGAAGATAAATCTGTGGTGCAAGGTGAAGAGGCTCAAGATGAGGAGATAGAAGTAGATGTTGCGTCTATAGATAGAGTGGCTGCCTTTTGTAGTTCTGATGAAGAAATGGAAGATATTGGTTCGTTGCAGTTTTTACCAATATCACCAGATGTAGAAGATTCAGAAGATAATCAAACAACATTACATGAACCACCTATGAAAAAACATCGTTCTCATGATATTCATTTGCAAGGTGCACCAGTAGATGGTAAGGTTTGCATTTGATTAATAACAGCTTGCATTTGATTAATAACAATTTTATGCAATATATCATTAATATTTTTCAGAAACTCATCCATTATTAAATAAAGGAAAAGATAAACCAACAACTAAAAAAGGAAGACCAAGATTGGAACATAGAAAAGGAAAGTAAACTAAATTATATTTTTAGCTTTAACATAAATATTAATGTAATGTAATGTATAAATTGACTGAAAACTTCACATATGTTAACTGCGATATTTTATAATCATAATATATGTTATAAAATGTACTACTTCCTATGGAATGTATTTCTTATATTGTTCTTGTGCGTTTTTATATTGAAAACCTGTCTTAAAATTTTAAAAATATATCATGTTAATATCAGTAAAGATAATTTTCAATTGTATATTTCTTAAATATAAAGTTAAATTTAATATATATATTTAATGTATTTCAGAGCAATTCATATATTATTTTTTATATAATTTTTTTATAAATTTTCTTTAATTTGATCAAAATATAGAGCAGTTATACTTATATCTTGTACGTTATGCATTTACACATTCGCACTCGCGCACAGACCACACACACATCAATGCTACCAATATTTAGAAGTTGAAATGTAGTTAATCTGTATTTTATTGTCGAGTTATTTGAAAAAAAGTTAACTAATATTGATAAATATTTTATCTTATTATGACTAACTTGTAATATATTAATATATTAAATTTATTATAATATATTTTGTTTGCAATGTTTATTTCGAGGTTATTAGAACAAGTTTATAAAAAAATATTTCATGTACAGAATAAAACAAAAAGAGGTGTACAATCTGTTAAAGATGTAATTTTAAGTGGTGGAATTATTATTATTAGTGGCATTCTTATTGTTTGGTTATCTGTGTTTCTTTACACGGCATTTTATTATGCCTATGTACCAAACATCTCATATGTACGACCAGTACATCTACAGTTTAAGTAAGCTTGATTTCTCAGTTGTACGTTAATGGAAAAAAGATCATATCTTGAAGCATATTTTTTGACCATTAAAAACGTTATATTACATGCATCCTAAATTTAAAATTTGCTATGTTATAGGTCCTGTAATGAAGAAAAAGGAATTTGTAGCTTTCCATCTGCATTTGTGCAATTAACAAATAAACAACAAATTTTAATGGTTGGCCAACCATATAAAATTAATTTACATTTAGAGATGCCAGAATCACCAGCTAATAAAGAACTTGGTAATTTCTGAATCCTTATAAATAAAAATTAAAAAATAACATTTAATAAATATAATTTTTAAATAGGTATGTTCATGGTTTGTGCTGAATTACGCAGCAGAGATACTTTCCTTGTAGGACATACATGTAGATCTACTATGTTACATTATCGTAGCACATTATTACATGCACTTACAACATTTACATTTTCACCTATGATGATTTTTGGTGCTACAGAAGAAAAACAAAATGTAGTTCTTGAATTACTTGATAATTTTGAAGAAGATCAAAGTCATCCAGTTACAATTATTTATGTTGAAATACAATCAAGACACATCGAATTCTACTCTGCAAACATTATGATAAATGCACATTTATCAGGTCTACGTTATTTAATGTATCATTGGCCAATTTTATCTGCTGTTGTTGGTATTGGTACAAATTTGTTTTTCATAGCACTTGTGTGCATTCTTTCGTATCTTCATTTTACTATCTATGAAGATTCTGGAGATGATGGTTTCAATTATGAAGAAGATAAAAAGATTGAAGAAAAACAAGAAGAAAAAAAACGTAAAGTTACAAATGATCGTAAGTTGGTTATTATATTTTCTTTTATAAATTAAATATAATTAAATTCACTTATTTTTTAAAGAATCATCAGATTCGTCATCATCGGAAGAGATTGCTGCATCTTTTATAATACCACGTGTTCAAGACTATTCATCTGATGAAGAACCTCATTCCTCTCACATTGAACTAGTAAAATAATTTACATTCCACAATGCAGGGCATTTTGAAATTAATTACATAATAATATAATGCGTGTACAGATATAGTTTATAGCTATAAGTGAGTAAATATATAAAAGAAATATTTATTTTTCTATACTTCAAATACTTTATTTGCTTCTGTTATTTGCTTTTGTTATAAGTAATGTATATTAAAAGAAATGTTTTTAATAAAATAAAAGATATGAATAGTTTTATTTATAATATCACTTTATTGGGGTATGGGATTATTTGAGCTTTGAATTTAGTTGAATTGGATTGAAGTTTCATGAAAATTCAGATTCTAATCCTAAATTTTAGATATTTATCCTTCAATTAGAGGATATATTTAAAATATCTCAGAATAATGAACCTTTACTTTAGTTTTACATTTAAACATGTGTATTTTCTTTATATCTCGAAAATGAAAACAGACCGTACAATTTCGAGAAATCAATCATCGTTACTCGTAAATAAATTGAAAAATGTTGTTTGCTATAGTTTCGGTCTAATAGGAAAATAAAATAATGTTTAAACATGATAATTACAAATAATTTGTAATTTAAACTCTAAATTTTTTTTTATTAAGAAATATATATCATTTAGATACATTATTTGCATTACATATTTTAAATTTAAAATCTCGTTTGTAGTTAACAGCGCCATCTTTTGAAATAAAAGGACAGTTATAGCCGTTTTAAATTTTTCGAACGTATTGTGGTGCTGTGCAGAAACGTTGTGATTTTCTATGTTGTATTTGAAAAATATTCGAATAATAAGCAATATGTAGTATAGGTTTGTATAACATTACATTCACTTCATAAAAACTTGTTCTCGTTCGACACAAAACAAGAAGTTTTCAACATTTCGTGTGTAAGCAATATTAATGTGGTTAAAATATTTCGATTACATATAGAGTAGGAAATTCTAATTTTTGTACGTTATTGCTTTTCAAGTTAATAAAAGAATTTTTAAATTATTAAAACAATTTTTGGACAAATGATTTTTTTCTAATCTTGTGCATCTGTGTGACATATGATAAATAGAAGTATTGATGCTTTCAGATACCTAAAGGATATTTTTCCGATGTTTAATGATTCTAATTATTTTGCATAAACATCGATATACCATATTCGTCTTGGAATAGATTAGATTCTTAATCAAGGAAGATATTCCTAAAGAGTAAAAAAAGATTCATCTTGAAATCTTGGAAGAAGTTTTTTTTAGATGAGATTTGCATCTATCAGAAGAGGTCCATTTTGAAACAGAGTAAGTTCCATTTCAAATGTCTTTTCGAACAACGAATATATAATTTGTAATTGTGACAATAAAGATTGAAATGGTACATCCTGTATATAGTGGCTTGGCATGTTAAAAGGGAAAAAGTGACATCAAATGAAAGAAATCTTACGTATGTAAGTGTCGGTAAATAAAGGGACGAAAGGACGATGCATTTTATGCTTTTGTAAGACGTAAGCGGCGTACACACGATGCATAAATACTAAGGAACCGGTTTTCTATGTTACCCAGACTTCATGCAATGCGATGAGTTAAGAAAAAGAACTTAAGGGGGCAGCACGATTTTGTGGGATTGCCTTGTATTCTTCGTGGCTCGTTACTCGAGATTCTCACAGGTGTGTGAGATTCTCGTCTTCACCTTTGTTTTTATTTCTTTTCTTTCCATTATTTTTTCATTTTTTCAGGACTTTCGATTTACTTCGAATGAAATGTATATTGTGATAAGTGAATAATTCGCTGGTGTGAAAATAACAATGTTTTCAGATTATACAACTTATTTCACGTTATTAATTAATTAGAGTCAATCGAGTTTAGTTTACAAATATATTAGAGCATATATATAGAACATATTGGAGCAGATGCATTTTTTTCAGACAATTCAAGACAGAAAATAATGGTAATAAAATAAAAATAATAAATTTTCGAGTTAGCATGAAATTGTCATTATGAAACATATTTAAATACAATTTTTATCATTTTTATCATTGACTAACAGGTTGACAGTTTTCGAAGGAAGTATCTATTGTATAAATTGAAATAAAAATTTCGAAGCGTAGAAATATTAATGGTCTAAAACCGTTTCATTTTACACGTGAAAATCGAAATCTGATTGAATGTCGTGTGTTATTCGCGTTCATATTTATAATATTTTTATTTCGTTGTTCAAAGCCGCAAGAAGCTATTGTAATTTTTTTTTTTTTTTTTTTTTTTTTTAATATAAAAATACCCATCAGCGATTTATTTCCTAATGAATTAAATATCGTACTGGCGTTCAGTTTATTGACTTTTCAAAACATGAAAAGCAATGATTACATGCGCAAGCATTCAATGTTATCGAGCGGGCTGACGTTTTCAATTAATATGTGCAACGTGTATGCACCGAAATTACAAATTTTATAATTTACTCGACGTGTGCCGTGAAAACGGTGTCGCGAAATCGTTTGATTTTCAATAACTCGCTCGTCCGTTTCGATGACCCATATGTCGTGGCTAACGTTATCGAGCATACTTTCGAGCATACTAGATTCGAATTCGATCTCGTCAGCTCAAAGAAGATTCTTCACTTTTCACTAGTTTTTGCTCGACAATTAAATCAAGTGCCCGGAGACGCGAACTTTCGAAAAAAAAAAAAAAAAAAAAAAAAATTGTTGTATTTATTCAGTCTATGTGATAAAACGATTACGTCTTACAATAAAACAATGTTTTTAAAACTTAATTAGAGAACGAAAGACGTTCTCTTCTATCCAAGTTGGTAATAATTCGATTTTCTTACCGGCAGGTCGAGAGATTGCAGTGCAGACTAGGATGTTCAAGCAGGCTGGCGTAAAACAATTCGTCGAGGTGGTTGCGGTTACTTCAATTGACGAAATTCTACAAAGAATCACATCGATACAAGGTACCGTTTCAGAGGAAATTATATTTCTTATCTTATCGTTTGCTCGTCTGTCTCACGTCCTTTCTTCTGTCCATTTTCTCTCATTAATCAGCTTTGATGAAATTGTTAATTCATGTCGGCGAAACATTGCAATGTGAATGAAATAATTAGCAATCATTAATTCGATTGTTGGCGTTTTAAATGCGGCGAACGCAGGGATGAAAAGCTTTTCGTGAAAATAGGAATGTTAATGAGTATTATCAATTTTTATCCCCATTATCTGACTTTGAAACGATTTTGCAATTAACTCACACTGCGATAGTATTCGTATAAGTCGTCGTAACTTTTTCCTCCTTCTTTCTTTCTTTCTCTGTCTGTTTTTTTTCCCGTTGGAATACTGAAAATCTCGAAATGAAAATTTTTAATTTGTGCGTGATTTTAAATTTTATAACGAACTAATTAATAGGCGGCATTCGGGGCATTGTTTATTCACGTCAGGAATATCGAATTTCTACAAAAACGACGATAACCAATGAATGTACTTAATTATGCTTGCGATCTATATAAAATTTACAATAAACACGTTCATATTTAAAGAGCAGTTTATTGTGTTCGTGTAATATTGGATTAAAACGGAAATTAAATTTTTCGCAGCGATCGGTCGAAATTCTTTTGGAAAATACATTTCGCAATGAAATACGCCGGTCTCTAAATTAATCTACGTGCAGAATTTTGTCGGAATCGTTAGTTGAGTTTACGATGCAAACAATATTCCAATGCAACGAATGGCTAGTTGTGAAACGCGTTGTTTGCGATTTTAGCCATCATTCGTCCTTTATTTTTCCAATTTAATTTCTCCCTTGGTGTCAAATTGATACGATAGCGGAATAATTGAATTTGCAAATTCTTTTATTAATAGTAAATAAACTGAATTTCTCTTCAATTTTATATCATGATTTTACACATTGTATAAAAAAAGAATGTGTCAAATTGAGATACAAGGGGCGGACGAGGATTAAATAATTTCAACTCTGCAGAAGTTTGAGCTTTCACACATTTGCCAGAAGCCTGAACGTATTATAAAAGCTATTGTATGATTTATTAAATCTATACGTTTTCACACACGCTGACATAAACGCACATGTATCATATATATTTCCATACATTTCTCTGAATGTGAGAGACTGCTTAGAACGTTTCACAAGATCTTACGTCTTCCACAGTATCTCGAATCTCGATATTAATTTCACTTTTAAGCTTTAAGAATTTCAGACGATTCATACCGTGACTTAAAAGATTGCAGGCAATTCAGAAATCCTTTGTTCCCCTAACAAACTGCTATTTATATACATCATTATTCAAAGTGTCCGGTTAATTCCCCGTTTTGACTATCTTGAAACGATTACTTTAGCGCGAACAATTTCTCTGTGCATAATAATATTGAAGAACGATGGTTTCTCGGAAACTTGTAAACGCGTTTCCATTTGTTTCTCTGTAAGCCTGGGAAAGCATTGCAACACACAGGAAGACTACGGAGTAAAAAAAAAGAGGCCAACAATAGTTTTTCTTGTTCGGATCGTTTCTCGGTAAATTTTCAGTAATTTCTCAGTTTGACAAAAAAGGCGGAAAGCTTTTTCTTTTTTTTTTTTTTTTTTTTTTTTTTTTTTTTTTTGGCTAAAACAAAATAGCCGACCCGAAAAACGCCAGCCAGATGGAATTTTGCTGCATTCTCGTCGGCACCGAATTATCGAATGTGCATCGTAACGCGTTCGGTGTTACAGCGTAACAGCTTTGATATGCAAATCCTTGCTTCAATGTAGCTAAAGTTGTTCGCTCGTAGCTCGAGAATTTCTGTTCCCTCGATGATTTACAATCGTCGTGAAAGGTCATTAAAAAGCTGTGGCGTTCGTCGAGGAATATATTTAATCGACACGGTTTCTCCGACCAACATTCGGTTAATTCGATGTTCGTATAATTGTGAAATGATTCGCAACAGAAATTTCCTGCCGCTCGGCTAAGAAGCGAATTCCCCCATTGGTTACATAACATTGAACCATCCGTTTCGGGGAAAACCGACGATTTTTGTTCAAGGTGATTTTGCTAGACATTTTTATCTGCATACAAGCTTACTAAAACGATTAGTAAGGAGCACGCGTAACGTTATTTCTCGCGGCCATTCATTTTGCACTTTTAATCAGTCCACCTGCGAGCGCAGTCCACAGCTACGAATGTGGTCATTACAGTCAGGCCGTGCTCGAACGTCCACGCACCGATCGAGAATACCTAGTGGCGTTTTGCTCGTGCCACGTCGATTCCGTGGTAATTCATTCTATATAGCTACATAATCGCGAATTGCGACTATCCGCAATTGCAGCTTTCGCGCGATTATTGTTGTGTGTGCAGCAACGCGCCACGAAGGATAAGTAAATCCATCGACATTCCGGTGGAGTCGGACTCCGTACCGTTCCTAAGGCTCGCACATACCGGTTCCAGTTCCAGTTCGAAGAAATTCGAAATAAAACTGGCCGATAACTCGTCGTGCGCGAATCCCGTCTCCGATCGAGCGTTGCCTGCTAGCCAATAAACGTGATAAACGTCCATCCCGGGCAACAGCTTCGCTCGACCGCGACAATTTATCTCCGTGGCCGCTGGTAATGAGGTTGTGATGTCCGTGTGTCGTGGTTCTCGACATTCTCGCGTTCACCCCGAACAAATAGCGTGACACGCCGGGGTCGTGATACGCCGCCACGAGCCACGCAACTTTCTACCATTCCCGAACCATAATTTCCCGTCTATACCGTGCGTAATATGCTCGCTGGTTTCAGCCAAGCCTCGGAGCGAAGCAGTTTCCACCGAGTTTCCACGTTCGTATAAACGGGACGTTTAAGCGATGCGTTTGACCTTGTAACAAAGTTGCCAAGATATTTATGAGATCTCGTGTCAACGTCGCGAACAACGAGAGACTGGATTGACAGTTTAATCAGCCTCATTGTGAAACTTCGATCGTAGATGTCGTTTCGGTATTTTACGTGACTGTGTTTCTCTCAACTGTTCAGCACGATCGAGTTCTATCTCCTCTTTGCCTGTCCCTTGACGGTTTTCGGCGAATAAAATAGCCCTGGTTGGCTGCAAGTACCTTTGTTATCGGATTACTGCGTTAATTTGTCATTACGAAGTCGAAAATTTCCGGCATCCTTCGATCCGATGCTCCGCGGCTAACTTAATTGCCCGACATCGGCTAATTAAAGAAGTTTGAACCCGCATTTAAATGCATTGCCAGCTCATTGCTGGGTTAACGCCGAAGAAATGTGGAGGTAATTTTTTGCTAGATCGATATCGGGCCGGCCAGCCAAGCCAACGTCCGCTGACTAATTGCTTAACACATTCTCTGCCTCACCGTCTCTCTACATGGCTTTCCGTTCATGTCGATGTACCTATATCTTGTCTACGTTGCAGGCATATATTATTTATTTACATTCTCCATTTATGTTCATTTCGTTCATTTGCATCGTAGATTTTGTTAATCAGTCTTCGATAGGTAAACCTGGCATCTTGTATTCGATTGTACGTTACGGTACAGGGCGTATTAAACAGCGACACCGTTGCAACGTGTATTAATTAACGATTACTCACCACCGTTGAGTTTTTTAATAAACATCTTGCCCTAAAACATGTGTTTTAGTCGCACGATCGTCTCGATCGAAATTGCTCCTACAAAGCCTGTTAACGCTTTGTTAAGGCTCTCATTAAAGATCCTTAAAATCGACGTAGCATCGCTAATTGCGGCTCAGTCTGGATAGCTGGCGAGTTTCCTCGTGACGATCGGTCGGAAGCTACTTGCCGAGGGAAACTCAGAATCGATCGTATCGCGCACTTTCTCGGAGCATTCTCAGATATAACACGTGTAACACATTGGTAGTCGTTGGTAGTCAGAAATATATATAGCTACGATCAGAAATGTTAACAGGCTAATCTTGGCCTGGGTGGCTAAATCACTGTACGTACGCGCGGTTGGTTTCCGTAAGAAGACGGCAAACGAATTCATGTCATTTCGTGCAAGAAACGATTAATTGTCTATGCATGGAACCACCCCAAGCCGTCTGTCCGCCGTTCCAACAGCTCCGTTCAATTACTCGACGCCGCATTACCCGACGTCTTAACCCATTAATGTCTGTGATTATCTGACAATAATTGGCGACGGATGACGCGCCGATTCTGGCCGATAATTTTCCACGATTCCATTGATCGTGTATCGCGGATCGCGTGAAGATCAGCTTGCTCTCGTCTCGAGGCACGAGGCCTCGCTTGCGACGAGGTGTTGAAAACGAACACGCCGATTTATGCCCGTTAACCGCGACAGAATTGTGCGCGTGAGCGCGAATGGCCGATTACCGAGGGCAGCTTCATCGTTCGAAGATTGAAATAGTCCGTCCGTCTGTCGGATCATCGACCGTAACGAGGGTCAAGTGATTTTGTCGTGCAACCGGCAACGACCGAGCCGGTCCGCCAGGTATCGGCAAAATGTGCTCGCGTTGCTCGCTCGCGGACCATAAACTGTCGGTTAACAGGCTCGTTTCTTTCCTCTCCTACCGAAGAATCTGCGACGGAAGCGCAATGACGAGGAAGAGCAATGGCATTTATTGTCCACTACGGCTACCACCGTAGGAATCCACCGAGTAATTCGATCGAAGAAATGATAAAACTTGCAGCAACGTGCACCTCGTTAGCC